AGGTCGGAGCGGGAGCCCGCGGGTGCCTCGCGCCCCCCGCACTTGGACTTGCAGAGGGATCGGCACCTTCTTTTAAACTTTCCTCTCCCTCTTTTTTAAGACCTGGGAAAACGCAAATTCTAGAGGAAGTTAGTTCTCAGAATGCCTCTGCCCGCCGTGGGCAGGGGCGGGGTGCGAGCGGGGACTGGAGGTGGAAAAATAGCTGGATGCCTTCTGAGCCGGGTTTTTTTTTTCCCTCCGGTAGAGGCGAAGTGGTGTCATCTGCAAGGCATTTCTCGAGGAAGGGACTTTGCTGGTTTTGCTCCAAACCCTTCCATGTCGAAGGGCTGATACCGACTTTCCCCAAACTAAAATGGCTTCAAAATTCCCATCTCTGTAACTAGCTTGGCACGGCTGCCGGCACGGCCCTACTCACGCCAGGCAGGTTGGTTTCTTGGAAAGGTTTTGGAAGGTTTGTGTCTGCGCTGTGCAGTTGTAGGTTTTCCACGGAAGCCCTTGCTCATCCCAAACCTGTTTTTGTGAATGATGGTTTGGATTATTGCCCGAACTTGGGCTCTGAAATTTATTTTAAATGGGTGATGTACTTCCCAGGGGATGAAAATGAAAAGCTCTATAAATGCGAATTATGTTCTTAACCATAAACTTTATAGGGGAAACCGACCCTAAAACTTGGGGTGTCTGTAAGTCTATGCCCGGTAAAGTATGAATCCGGAGGTTTGTAAACCCCAGGAGCACGTGTTGGCTTTTGCTTTTAGCCAGGAGGCTTCACACAAGGGCTTGTTCTAGAAACGTACAGTGGTACCCAGTACCCGTGGTGCTAGTGATAGTATGGGGTTTCCTTCCTGTTAGCTCTGCAGTGAGGTGGTAATGAGCAGTAGCATGGTTCGTTCAATGATGTGTGTACTGGTTTGTTGGGCGGGATTCTGCTTTCTAGGAAATAGCGCTGCATTAAAACATCAGAGAACTTTTTAAGTGCTCTCTTGCAGAGTACAGCCCTCACCCTGTTAAACAGCCATTCAAGTTTCTCGTGTTGCTCCCGTTAGCGCGGCCTCCTGTGAGTTTTGGATTGTGTGCTCTACTTCTGGCTCAGACAGATAGGGGTTTTTCTAAAATGAGGATTTTGCACTGTGAGGAATTTTGTCCAATGCATGTGCATACGAGTCCTGCAGTTTGTATTAGGTGTTTTATTTTTCTGTGTGAGACAGCAAAAGACATGAAAAGGTTTTTCCGTAGCAGTCACTTTAGTGAGGACCTCCAGTTTCTAAACTGCAAGTGCTTCCAGGGTGGCCAATGAGGTGGCCCACAGAGCGGTTCCCACAGTACTGTGCCCTGGAAGGACCCCCGGGGTTTGCGGCGGGCGTGGCAAGGTGTCATGGCCTTGGCTGAAACCACACTGCAGGTGCCTGGCCTTTCCTGCGGTAGTGTAATCTTACTCGGGCTTGTGCATCACAGTGGTGAACAAGGTACTGTGCCCCCGAGGTGCTGTTTCCTTGTGTTCTTGGTGACTTCACTCCTTGATCCATGTACTTTTTCCTAGCATGCGTTTACTGATTCTTGCCAATGCTGGTCCAAATTCTTTTAACAGTGTGTTTGTGTTTTGGTGACACCTAGGTGGATCGGAGGTAGAGAACCCAGCTGACAGTGAAAGGGAGGGGAGGGGCTGAATTGTGAGGCTCCTGGGCCCAGAACCATGTCTTCGAGGGAGTCCTTTAACCCGGAAACTTACGAACTGGACAAAAGCTTCCGGCTAACCAGGTTCACTGAACTGAAGGGCACGGGATGCAAAGTGCCCCAAGATGTCCTGCAGAAACTGTTGGAATCCTTACAGGAGAACCACTTCCAAGAAGATGAACAGTTCCTGGGAGCCGTTATGCCAAGACTTGGTATGTAAACCATTGTTTCCGATACTTGCAGTCCAGTCAGGCAGTCAGGAGCCAGGCTCTTCTCCTGTGTTGCTTTTATTTTTAAAATTCTGTAAGAAAGATGGGAGGAATAATCCAAGGGTAGTAACTGTTACGCTGCTGTAACTAACTTACAGGAATACTTGAAAAGCATGGGGACAGACCTACAGTTTTTAAGCTGTGGAACATGCAGCTGACATCATCACAGTAGCGTAAAAGTAAAAGTTGTTGTTTAAAACTCAAATTGAATTTTCTGGTTAGCTGAGTTAGCAGGAACTCCTTTATGCCTCTTTCCCAAATGATCCCCGAAGTGCTGTGCCCTCTTCGCGGCCCTAGGCGACGCGATGCTTTCCTGTGTTGTGTGCAGTGCTTGGAGAGCAGTGGCCTGGTGGGGTGGAACGGGTCCTGTGCTGTGTGCCCAAGTCGAAAAACTGAGGCGGGGCGTGCAGGACTGAGGAGCAGAGGAGCCTGGCAGAGTCTCCTTGACCCCAGGGTGCCATCTGAGTTTTATTTTACTAAATTCCTGGTGGTGATAGTGGTTTCCCTTTTTTCCGAACACGGCTCAGAAAGAAATTCTAGGTCGTGGGATGTTGTTCAGTCATGCTTGTTGTGTACGTTATTCAGTACATAAGGCAAGACCGTGATGACTTTGCCTTCAGGTGTTCGAAGCACACGCTGGGGGGTTGGGTGGATGTTCTGTAGTTACTGGTTGGCTTGATCAGCTTTCTTACCCATGACTTCTAATTCATTTATTTTTTCCCATTAGTTTATTGCAAAGTCCTGTCTTACCAGGCTGATTCTGAGCCTGAGGTATTCCTTCCCTAGTACCTCAAGCAGAATTGTTTTGGTTGGACAGAAGGAACCCCTTCTACCTCAGAAACACACACAGATCACACGCATGCACACACATGCCCACGTGTGCCATGCCTGCCCTACTCTCAGGAGCTTGGTTTGAAAACAGTTCCTCTCCTCTAGCTGATGTCTAAGTTGTGGAGAAGCGTCAGGGAGAACAAGTTCGACCAGATGATCACTGACTTGTCAAGAAATGAGAATATACTGGGGACATCAGGAAAAGTAAACCACTCGTCCAAACCACAGGAAACAAAAATCCTGCGGATAAAGCAGTGGTCCCTAGTCATAGCTTCCTCTAGTTGGTCTTATTGAGCACTTAGGCCGGCCCTGCACCCTGGGTGCTTCGCTGTGACAGGATCGCTGCTCCTCCCAGCAGCCTCCAAGCTCTCTTTTCTGTGGCACAGCGTTGAGGCTGGGACCTGGTGCCCACGTTTTCCTTCGCGCCCTCCAGTCGCGCACTGCCAGCCTTTTGGTTTCTCAGTTCCCATGTGTTGCATGTAGGAAGAAGAGCTGCTCTGGCCTTAACCTAGCAGTGGCAGGCGGGGAGACGCAGACAGAAGAACACAAAGGCCATTAGCCGGAGCCTGAGGTATTCCTTCCCTAGTACCTCAAGCAGAATTGTTTTGGTTGGACAGAAGGAACCCCTTCTACCTCAGAAACACACACAGATCACACGCATGCACACACACATGCGCACACACATGCCCATTTGGCTTTAGAAGAGTGAATGAAACTGTAAGCTTTTCCCAGAGAAACCACACTTCCCAGATCTGCATTCGCACAGTCCCGAGGGGCATGCAGACCCCAGGTGCCCAGCAGATGGATGCCGAAAGAAGCAGAGTTGGAAAGCCTACAGAAGTGGCATGTCCCAGCAGCCAGACTGTGCCTTGAGGTCCAGGCTAGACCAGTCACACACCAGTTGTTAATGTTACATAGCATGTGTTAGGAACCCCCAGTTTACCAGTCTATAAAATAGGACTGTACATATCATGTGTATCTGTACCCACATCTGTAGGATATATATATATATATAAAATGTGTGTGTATATGCACACATGTGTATGTTTATCTGCTTCTGTTTTTTTTTTCCTAATTGAATATCCTATTTCTTGAATTCTAAGATGGTATTAATTGAAGCATGAACCAGAACAGCTTTTGAAGATACATACCCTTGCTGATGTATCCTAACTAAAGAGATGTTAGCACAGCTGTATCTTAGGAACTGGAGTGTCTGCTGTCTGGCCCTCAGGACCTGTCAAGTATGGATTGCTGCTGGTGGCGGTACCTATGATGAGTTGATGGTTTTTCTTGATAGACGGTTTCAGTTGTTTTGAAAACTTAGAATTCCCAGTTATCTGCTAATAATTTTAACATAAAAGTCTCAGATTGGTGTTTAATAGCCCCTGCATTCTTTTTATTTGTTCCTACTCGCCCTTTCCTTGGACTTCCCTCCTTCAGTTTGAAACCCTAGTTTTTCAATGCCCATGGTCCATCTCAGGCTTACCGGTCTCACTTAAAATTTGAGAGGTGATTTTTTTTTAAACTAGTAGCTGTAAACCAGTGGTATTCAAAAGAAATATGATACAAGTCACATAGCTTTAAATTATTTCCTGGTTAAAAAAAAAAATTATTTCCTGGTGATCATATTTAAAGAAAATGGGGATGAGGTGAAATTGACTCTAATATATTTTATTTAACCTAACATTAAAAATACTTCTTTTCAGCACATAGAAAACATTACTGTGATGTTGGTTCTTGGTGCTGTGTAAAGTCTGGTACCTGTTGGTTCTGAGGCTGAGGTATTCCTTTCTTCCCCAGTACGTAAAAGAGAGTTGTTCTGGCTGGGATGGAGGGAACCCCTCCTGCCACAAACACACACACACACACACACACACACACACACACACACGTTGTGAATGCACATTGCAGTTTGGCTCGGCTCGTTTCAGGTGTTCAGTATCCGCAGGTGACTGGTGACTCCCCTGGGGGCAGTACTGGCCCTCACCCTGGTGGAGGAGCTGTCACTCTTGTGGAGGGTGGTTTGTAGATAACAAGAGATTTTAGTTTTTAGTCTTCAGTTACTCTGATAAAGGAGCTCACTAGGTGTGGGAATCAAGTGTGTACAGAGCCTATAGAATTGTGTTCAAATTTAGGATACCCCAGACTAGAAGCATTTTAAAGCTAACACTCAGCAACTCTAGACTCTCTTGCCACAGTCCTGTAGTTTTAAGTAGAATTCCAAAAGAAGTACAGGCCTCACCATTTCCCGGAATAATAGTGCCAGACACTGAAAAGAGCCGCTTGGAAACTTCAGGGAGCCTGAGCTGAAGTGTGGTCCTTGCCCTGTGGACACGTGTGTGAAAAGCTCACCGCTGTTGAGCTAAGTTAGCACCTGTGCCTTTCAGATGAAAACAGCGCGAGCCAGGTGTGCTCTCCTGTCCCCAGTTTGTGAGACTCATGAAATGGATTGAATTCTGTTCCTCAGCTGGATCTTGTAGAAGTTTGTTCCTTGAGCCAGGCATGGTGCACACGCCTGTAATCCCAGCACTCTGGAGGCTGAGGCAGAAGGGCACAGATTTGAGCCCAGCCTGGCCACACAGTGGCTTAGCAAGGCCCTGTCACAAAATAAAAAATAAAAAGGGGCTGGGGATGTAGCTCAGTGTGAGGCACCCTGGGTTCAGTCCTCAGCACGCGCCCCCCCCCCCCAAATTTCTGCTATGCTTAGTTAAAAAAAGAAAGAAGTCAACTTGTCTGTGCGGTCTGGCTTATTATTAAGCTTGACTTTCTCTTTGCGTTAGTGACAGTGGAACTACACCAGGGAGTAAAAGGGCCACAGTGACCAGCCACTGCCGGGGCTGGAGCTGGTGGTTCCCGACAGTTTTGCATCTACAAAATGTGAAAGGTCCTTAATCCCGAATTTACAAGGTAGAATCCCCTGGCTTCCTTTTGAGCTCCCGTCCTGATGTTTCTCTTTCTCCTGCCTTTGGCTGTTAAAGTGTAAATCCTTCAAAACAGGGTAGAAGGGGATATTCAGCTTACTTGGCAATGCCAGTCTGAATCTGTATTACAGATGATTTTCAAGGAAATAGAGCCTACTGTAGTTAGCGTGGCCGACGTCAAAACCGATTTCAGAAAGAAGGAGCGGCCCCACCCCTGCCTCATACTGGGGATGGGGCCCAGGTTTTCCCTGAGTTGCATCCGCAGCTTGCGTGTGTGCGTGTGTGCACTCATACATGTGTGAGGCAAGATCGCACTGAATTGCTCAGGTTGGGTTTAGACTTGTGATCCTTTTGCCTCAGCCTTCCACAATGACAGGATTATGGGCATGTAGCACCACGGCGGGTGGGAGTGTGATGGATACGATCTTTCCATACGTGTAGGAACAGTTCTCAGTAAATAAAATATTTCTTACAGCCTTGCTGAGTATTTTCCTTTTTAATAAAGTGAAGATAAAGGCCAGACCCTGTTCATACTATAACTTAGTGCGGGTTCTTTTGTTTGTGTTTTGAGACGTGGTTCTCTATGTTGTTTAGAAAGGCCTTGAACTTACTGTGTAGCCCAGATTGGTCTCGACTCGTGATAATTTTCCTGCCACAGTCTCTGGAGTTTGGGCATTACAGGTGTGTGCTAGCGCGCCCCTATAACTGTTTAGTAAAGATGGTGTGTATAAGTTTTTCACGAAGGTAATAACATCGAGTTAAAAAGTGCTTTAGGAATTTGTAAAGCAAATGGATCACATAGGTGCTGGGGTGTTACATACCTGTTTGGAAGTTTTGAATTCCTGTTCTGGCTTTGTCCTTTTCATTTTTTACCAAAGTATGAAAGTACCAGTAGCCATGTTCTGTATGTAAAATATAGTGCAGATATTCTCTTGGGAAAGTAGAGTTTTTAAAGATGTGCTCAAGGTAACTAGATTAAATAACATGACTACCATTTATACTGTTCTCGTCTTAGATAAATTCTCTGTGGTACCAATCACACAATACAGTAAGGCAGGCAAATAATGCAAAAAATACAGAAAAAAATTTAAGGCAGCAAGGTTTAAAAATTATGCCATGTTGAAGTCTTGATGACTAACACATTTTTGTTCATATTTTCTGTGTTACTCTAGCTGAGCTTCACATTTATTTCAGTTATGCTTCTTGATAGGAAACACTTGGCTTCAGTGGCAGTGTGGCGTTTCCATAAGTGACTTAGACAGAAGGGCTCCTTTGCGGAACATTGGTTTTATAAAGTAAGATGGCTTTCCCCTGTTATTTTTGGATGCTGATGGCTTCCATCTTCCCAGGCATTGGAATGGATACTTGCGTCATTCCTTTGAGGCACGGTGGTCTTTCCTTGGTTCAAACCACGGATTACATTTATCCTATTGTAGACGACCCTTACATGATGGTAAGTTGGACCCAGTGTGGTTTTATACCTAGAGCTGCTTGTACATTTGGCTGGGGCTTGTATGTGTCCATGATTTTTGGTTTTTGTTTCTGCTATATCCAGATTATACTATGCAGGCGCTCCCATAGTCACAGCAATTTGATATGTCCCACTGCGCGTGCCCGGCACTGTATAAGGCAGAGGAATGGGGATGTCACTCTGCTGCCTTTGTACCTGAATGCCTGCCTGTCAGGAGAGTGCTGCTGAACTCACGTTTCTTTTGCTTTCTTTCCTTGCACCTTTCTTTCTTTGACATTTGTAAACGTCACCATTCCTATTTCAGGCTAGAGATGGTCCCGTGCTCTGTACTGGAAGCAGTCCTAAGTGTTTCCTTCCAGGAATAAAGGAACCTAGCATCTCATCACAATTAGACTTCCTGAACATTTATCCTAGTATATGTTGGAGTACCTTGGTTACGCCCGCTCAGCCGTCTGTGCTCGTCACCGTCTTGCATGTGTCTGAGCACTGAGTTAAAGTTCCAGCTGTGGATCGTGTGCACTGCTTTGTGCTTTTTTTCCCACGGGTCACTGCATGCCTGTGGCTTCCGAGTTTTCACTCTGCCCAACCTTTGGCCCTATTTCTCTGACAGCCAGGAGGAGTCAACGGAGAGATGGGAATATCCCACTCGTTATAAAATGCCAGAGAGAGGTCTTTCCTGGGTGGTGAGGACACGGGACCATGCTGCACACAGTGGAACTTAGGCCATGGGGTAGCAGAAATTGGGATGTCCACCTCTCAGCTGCCAGTAACAAGTGAACAGGTTATTAGGAGCCAGTGTTCCTCCTGCTCCTCCATCAGTTCCTCCTCTAGAACAACACGCCTGAGAGACAGGGCCGAGAAGCCATGCCCCGTGTCCCACTTACTCTGACGGCAGAGGTTAGGACCACAGTCCCTCCTCTTCCTGGTGTTCCTCAGTGCATTTGAGAACACCCAGAAAATTGCTGCCCCTCTGACCGGTGAGTGGCATCTCCGAGTGGCATGATGCCTGTTAGCCTGGGAGATGTTGAAAGCAGGCCTGGGGAAGGTGGTTGGTGTAGCAGGAATGCGTAAGAAACATAAGACAAGCAGCTAAACAGACAAACGAAATGATAGTGCTGCTTTGCAGTTTGATTTGTCTGTATCAAGACAAAAACTGGTCACTTGCTTTTTATTGTCTGTGAAGATATATGAGACAATATATGAGCTTACATTTAAAAAGTCTCCTGTGACAGTAAAAAATGTTTACTGCCATATTTCTCTTGAGTACTGTTTTAAATTCTGTTGAACGTGGTTGTTTTTTCTATCTCAGGTATTTGAGAACATTTTCTATCTTTACATTTTGATTAGTCCTCGTTTGCGGCATGTCATGTTTGCGTCCACTCCGTGGGCGGGGCTGGCACGTGCGCAGGACACATCTCAGTTCCTGTTTCATCCCTCCCCTTCCCTCTCATCTCTTGATCCACTTGCTGATCAAGGAAGAGCTTTCTCAAATAATATTTGAGTTTTAAGTTTAGCATTGTGTAATTGACTAGAAAATAGTCTGACGTTATGTCCCTATATTTTTTTTCAAACAAGATGATTTTTCTGTTTTGTAACATCCTTCAAAAGGAGCTAGAAAAATATCTCAATCTTGTACGTGAAAACTGTCTCCTTTGCCGTAACCAGTAAGGTCAGCGTTTTTGTAGAATCTGTTTAGAATAAGTGGCTATTTTCAAGTTTGCTGGAGGCAAATTGTTGTCGGATGCCCCCTTCCTGGCTTTTTCTCTCAGACCATCCGTTCTAGCTTTGCTTCTCTTCTTGACACTCCCCACCTCCCAATCCAAATAAATCAGGCTTGTAATATTGACAGTGGGCAAGAAAACCCTGTAAGTGCTTTGCTCTGTACAAGAAAGGACGTGACAGGAGTGTCTGGGGCAGCGAGTGGCCTGGTGCTCCTGTGATGAGGGGAGGTATCTAGTCTGCCAGTGTAAAAGCTGAGGACCCGGCCCGCAGCTGCCCTTCCTGGAAAGCCCCAAGTTTTCCTTGGAGGCTGCTTGTGGGCTCAGGCTTTGTTCTGCAGATGGAAAGTCCCCGGCTGTCCCTTCTCACGTCTCCGCTCTCTTCCCAGGGCAGGATAGCGTGTGCCAATGTCCTCAGTGACCTGTATGCAATGGGGGTCACAGAGTGTGACAACATGCTGATGCTCCTTGGAGTCAGTAACAAAATGACCGACAGGGTAAGTAGGGGTCCCCAGCTCTTCACACTGGACTTGTTTCCACCGGGAAAGCGAGGCGCCCAGGCCCTGGGGCCGCCAGCGTTCCATCTAGCTGTCCACTTGTGAGCAGCTGTCAGCAAATTAAAATGAGAGCCTCTGTCCTGTTCATCCTTTTATTTCTTCCACTGCTCCCTCCTCCTCTTCCAGGTAGACCGAAACCTACAAGTAGATATTTTTGTGTTTTAATAACATGTAGCTGTTGCCAACAGAATTACATATGCCGGCAGAATGTGTAAGTCCACTGTCACGGCGCCAGGCCTGTGGCGCAGCGGTCCAGGGACGCTGGGGGCTGGGGCCGTCGTGCCTCGCACTTCTGTGCTCTTGCCTAGAAATGTCTCTGTCCCTGCTGCTACCTGTTGGAACTAGGAATAAACTCCTACTTAGCGTATTTTTGACAGACACAGCCCTTATTTTTATTCCCTCTCCACCTCCAGCTTGTACAGAAATCCTAGTTTTCAGTAGGCCTTCTTCTGCCCGAGCAGTATGAGTTTTGGTTACTTGTACCCAGTGGTCTCGGAGGACTTGGGGTGGGCATTGCCATCGTAGGCTTCAGGCGTCTTCACACTCCTCGGTCACACATCAGCCTCCTTGAAGCACGGAGTGCATGTGTCGTTAGGGAGTCTTGGTATTCCTGATGACAAGGAACAGCTGACGTGCAGTGGTCCTCAGACGCAGGGGCAGGCCTCTGGCCCAAGTCACATGTGGTCTGTACTTCTCTTGTGTCTGGACTTGGTTTACCTTGTAACTAACCTAGAACATCTTAGAGCACTTGAGGAGTGGTTACAGTGTGAAAAACTGCGCAGTTTTGTCCTCTCAGCTTTCTCTAGGATTTTGTGATTCTTTTATAACCTTAAGTATAGAACTTCCTTCTCAGGGTTTTAAAGAGAATGATTTGACTTTTCACTTTGTCCTTTTAAACCCTAGGAAAGGGATAAAGTGATGCCCCTGATTATACAGGGCTTTAAAGATGCAGCAGAGGAAGCGGGAACATCTGTGACAGGTGGCCAGACGGTACTGAACCCCTGGATTGTCCTGGGCGGAGTCGCTACAACGGTCTGCCAACCCAACGAGTTCATCATGTAAGTTGGATTTTGTTCTGTGTCACCTGGTCTGTTCGTCTTCTGCATTTCTTTCTTTAAGGAGTAATGTGTTGAGCTGGGCGTCACTCACAGCATATAGTTCGCCCATTTAAGGCACGTGATTCATGGTGCTTCGGCAGTCACAGAGTACAGCCGTCACCCTACTTGGTTTTAGACGTTTAGAGCTCTAATGTTCGTTCACTTTTTAGTGTGTATCATTACTTTGATCTTACTCTTGAAAATGTGTAGATTTTTAAAATTGATTTATAATTTATAACAAAATATCACGTAACATATAACCCAGCTTTTAAACTAAGCAGTTCATTTCGTGTACAGCTGTCACCGCTGCCCTGTTCTGGAGTGTTTCCATCACCTCAGAGGAGCTGCGTGCATCTGCAGTCCTCTCCAGTTCCCTCCTTGCCTCGTTCTCTGGCAGCCGCTGATCTGCTTTTTGTCTGTAGAGGTTTATCTACTCTGGACATTTTATGCAATACATGACATTTTGTGTCTGGCTTTGTTCACACAGCACATTTTCAAGTGGTAGTATAAAGCTGCACTGCCTGCTTTTTCATAGCTGAATAATCCATTGTTGGGATATTGGGATATTCCATGTTTTCTTTTTTGTCTTTTTGAGACAGGGTCTCGCTATGCAGTTCATACTGACCTTGAGCTCACTTTGTAGCCCAGGCTGGCCTCGAACTCGCAAGGATCCCCCTGCCTCAGCCTCCCGAAGGCTGGGATTACAGGCGTGTGCCACCCCGCCCGGCAAGGCACATTTTTTTAATCCATTTATCTGTCAGTAGACCTTTGGGGTGTATTTTGTTCTAGATCAGTGGTGGCAAACTTGAAGACCTTTCAATGATAACACAGCCAGCTGCAGCACACATGCCATAGGTTGGCCACCACTGTCCTAGGTGAATGATGTAGCTGTGAATGCTCAGGTGTGTTTTGTTTTGTTTTTGATGTGGACATACGTTTCTCTACATCTTCCCCAGAGCTTTTATATTGTGATGTTTTAGTTATAGCGTCCTAATTGGGGGGATAAAACAGTACTGCATAGTGTTTTGCTTTGTATTTCCTAGGTGACTGTTGATATTGGGCATCTACTTTTCCATGGGGTTTTTGGCCATTTGTCTGTCTTTGGAGAAGTAGCTTAACACATGTTGTCACTTTCCATGTTTAATGTCTGCAAGAAAGCCCCTCTGTCCTGTTTTCCAAAGTAGCAAAGTTCCATGTGTGTCTAGTTTGAGTAGACACTGAGCAGTATTATGTTTACCTGGTGGCTGAGAACTCAGAGATACCGAGGGCCTGCAGCACTGAAGATCTCCCCGTGCCTCGGCCACCAGGTATCCCAGAAGTGCTTTCTCTGCCAAGCTACGCTCTGCCAACATTTAGCACATATCCTTTATTTGGGCCTTACAGATAATGTTGCAGTGAATGACTGTACAGAAGCGTTGGTCATTTTACATGTGTTACTTTACTGATAGAATCTCCAAGTGAGCTCCAGGGTCAGATGCTGCGTGCTCAGAACTCAGGGCTGTCTGCAGCTTGCCTTCCACGCAGCTCTGCCTATTTATGCCTCAGCCCGACGGGCACGGTGGGTAGCAGATGTCTTGGTGTTTGCCCATCTGCTCGGTGATTTTAACCTCACTCCTATGAGCAGAGGTGAACATACTTGTGTCTGTGTTTTAATTGGTCCTTTTAGGCCCAATACCTGAGCACTTCCCTGGTAAGGATCTTGCATTTTACTTACATTAAGGAAGACTTTATTTTCCCAACAGACAGTGTATCTCGCTAGTTCCTCAGACTTTCCATTTAGATTCTGAAGTTTATCTGTCTCACTCACTGCTGCTTTCTATTAGAAAAAGAACTGAGTAAGCTGCCTGTAATCCCAGCATTTGGGGAGCTGAGGCAGGAGGATCACCATGAGTTCTGGGCTACCCTGGGTTACATAGTGAGTTCAAGGGCAGGCTGAACTACATAACTTGACCCTGTGTCAAAAACAAAAGGGTGGTGGTGGTAAGACAAGTTTCAGTTAATTTGTTGGCCAACCAGTGTGTGTTCAGTAGGTGTTTTTCCCAGAAACTAAAAATAACCCCGTAGCTTTATCACACATAATATAAATTCATAGGTGGCACATAACCAGAAAAGTGGAAGGACTTACCAGCTTTCAGGTATGGCTGAGCCAGCGTGGAAATGCATTTCTCTCTGACGGTCTGGTTTTTGGCATGTGAGGCTCTTGTATAGTGTCACAGAATTAATGTTCAAAGCCGGTGTGGGATACAAATGTTAAGGTTGACTTCAGGACTTAGCTCTGGAGTCTGTGCCCTAGCTTGCATTTGCCTTAGCTTGGCACGTGAGTAGCCCAGCATCAGGGGATGGGAACACAGTTGTTGGAGCTGAGAAAGACCTGAGAAAGCCCTGAGTGGTAGGCCCCAGCCTGGTTGGGATGATACAAGTATGACTGTCTCGTTCTTTGTGGAATCATTCTGGGGCTTTTTGTGTGTGGGGGTGGGTGGGGTTTCTTTTTAGTACTTAAGACAAGGGCTACTCAGGGAGTTTGGGTACTTACTACTGGTCAGTGAGTGTTGGAAAACCTGGGTACAGACATTACCAAGACCCCATACTCAGATTCTGGCCAAATCCCCAAACCCAGAACATTCCACCAAAATCTCCAGTATTTAAGTGACCATGGTCACGCAGTCTTTGAAGTCTTGTCTCAAATGGTTTTGAACTCTGGTAGAACCGTAAGTGTGAAGGGGAAGTAGTCTAACGAAACCTTGGAAGACTAAATGATTTGCTGCTTTGCACACTTTTTTACTCTATAGCTAAGGGATCCGTACACTTAAGCCTGTGGACAGTTCCTTTTTCCTTTTAGTATTTTGTCCCACCAGCGCCTCAGGAGTGGGAAGCGAGGCCCTGTCCCGCTCACAGGGGTAGTCAGCGTAAGTTTAAGAAGTCCAGAGGCGAGTGCATCCTGCAGGGTTTTCCATGTGTTTAGTAGGAATGCATCTCCTTGGTTAGTTTGGCTGGAACATACCCTTTTCCTTTTCTTTAGGCCAGACAACGCAGTGCCTGGAGACGTGCTTGTGTTGACAAAACCCCTGGGGACACAAGTGGCCGTCGCTGTGCACCAGTGGCTGGACATTGTGAGTAACCGCTGCTTGTGACCGGAGGAGTGGTGGGCACTGAACAGTGAGCTCGCAGAGTTGGGTTGGTTTTTGTCAGGGGTTTTAAAAAATAAGACCCTTTAGTTTTATTACTAAGTTTAATTAGTCATGTCCTTAAGGAAATCGTAGGAATGGTCCGTGTGAAAGGTCCAGGTATTGAATGGTTCAAGCAGAAAACCCCAGCCTGGGGCTGCAGAGATTTTCTGTAAAGAATTTGTGAGGGAGGGGTTCGTTTCATCTGTGTATTTTGTCAAGGTGAGGTAGCTTCATCTTCCCTACCTTAAACATCACTCTATTGGGCCCGGGGAATAGCTCAGTGGTAGAGCGCTTGTCTGGTGTGTATGAGCTCTTGGGTGGGCCCCAGCACCACAGAAAGCAATAGGAAAGAAAGTTCATGCAAAGTGTTTAGCGTGTAAAGGAGGTCAGTTATTGCCAAGTTATTTTAGTAATGGAGGGGTGGGTTTTTATTGCTTGGTAATTTTGTCTTTTTAAACTGATGAGTAAGAACATTTTAATACATAATTCTCTCAAGGACGCAGTGCCTAGAATGGAAGGATATTTCTCCGAAGCATTTTCCCACTGAGCTGCAATTATACTGAAGATTTTTTTCACTATTGTAATAACTCACAAGTTAGTAAGATCGTGGTGTCTTTAATTTCTAAAACTGTCATTTGAAACTACTAATCCTGAGAAGCAGTTGAAAAATTAATAAATAATTCTATGTCATTCATCAGCCAAGTATATCTTAGCTGAGTAGCAGAGTAAGAAATTCTCTAAGGCCGCCACATCCTTTATTTATTTTTCCCTCCTTACCCAGCACAGCAGACCAGCTGGGGAAACGCAGGGTGCTGTGCAGGCCAAACGCCTCGGCCCGCACAGCCTAGCAACGGAGCCGGAAACAGGCAAGGCGAGCAGGTGGCGGAGGTGCGGCCTGGGGCTTCCGGCCTCCCCACCTCAGCCCCACAGCACCTTCACCACATTTTAAGCCAGCTTTTAAAAAAATTCTCACAACTGACAAGGCAAGTTCCAAAGACTGTAACAGCACAGTATGCTTTTTATGAAGGTCAGAGACAAGAGGATATTACTTTCTTCAAAGCAAGGAAAAAGTACAGAATTGAGAATGTTTGTTACTTACAGAAGAAGCATAGGTAGTGGGGATGAGGTAGACAGAAGCTACTGGTGATGTCAGTGAGTAGTAACTGTCCTGGGGTGGATTATTGGATAGCCATTGTGTGTGGGTGCATATGTGTGTGCACATGTGTGCATGCAGTGAGTGTGCATGAGTGTGTGTTTCTGAGGATCAAACTCAAGGCCTCGCACATTCTCGGCAAGTACTTTACAGCTGAGCCACACCCCAGCCCTTTGTGTATTCTCTCTATCACTAAAAAACCAAGTGGCTGGATGCATTTGTAAGAGCAGCTCATTTGGGACCGTGATGACAGTGTGCCAGGAACTGATGCCACATTCTTTGAAGGTCAGACGTGGGCAGACATGCCTTTTTATGACACCCTTCTTGTGCTGTCCGTTTTGATCACTGAATATTGTCCTCAGCATGCACACAATCGAAGTTGTATTTACACCCATGTTCATCAAAATCACTTCATTCTGGCATCAGTTAAAGTGAATAAAATTACTGTACCAAGAAAACTAGGAGCCAGCTTAGTAGGGGTGATGGTGAGGAGAACCAGAGGCACTCAAAACTATTAGTAATGTGATTGTACCCTGCCAAAGAGCAGACTGCAGCCCACTGTCACACACCTCCTCTTGCCTACACTGACCTGCTAGCTTTGTACAGCCAATACATTGCGATATTTGCTTATAGAGATATAGGACAAGATAGAAAAGAGCATGATGATACGTTTGATGGATGCATAACGGTTACAGAAAAAAGGTAGAACATTTAATCTTATGTACAAAGTTAAGTATGTGAAACTCACCAGGAGGGCAGAGCTGGAGCTCTGGTAAAGCATGGGCTGAATATGGGGACATCACTGGGTTTGATTCCCCAGCAAAGAAAAAAAAAAAGCCCCAGATGATGACTAACAAAAATGATGCTGTCTTTGTTGACGGTTAACAGTAAAGATTAATCACATTTTCCCCCCTCCCCCCCCACTGGTGTTCCTATTATTAGCCTGAAAAATGGAATAAAATTAAGCTAGTGGTCACCCAAGAAGACGTGGAGTTGGCATACCAAGAAGCCATGATGAACATGGCACGGCTCAACAGAACAGGTAGGGTGCAAAGGGCATTGTGTGAGGGGCTGGCAGACATTCTGAGAAGGGCTGAGATCACCAAAGTTTTAGGCTTTGTTGGGCACATACAGTCTCAGTTGTATATTGATCTTTTCCCCCTGCAGTTCTTTGTACATGTAAAAATAGATGCATAGCTGGGAGGCAGGCTCTGGGTAAGATTTGCTACAAACCATCTTCTCTTACTCCTGGGTCTGGCTTCCATGGATCACTCATGGGAATCCAGATACAAACACTCCTCTACATACGATGGTTTCACTGAGGAGTTCTCAGCCTTCTGATGGTGTGAAAGTGATGCACAGTTGGTAGAAACCGTACTTGGAGTTGTGAATGTTACTTCCTGGCTAGAGATAGGTGGCACAGTACTCTTCCTGTTCACCTGTAGTGCTGGGCAGTAGCAGCGTATACAGCATATACAGCTCCTAGTTAAGCATTTGTTCGCAAGGTGAATGACTAGTACTCTCCAGTGTGCTGTGCTGCTGAGCTGTGCATGGCATTTGTTAGGTTAGGTGTGTAAAATGCACTTTTGGCTTAATCCTGGCATAAGTTGAGAACATCGTAATTAACCTCATCATAAGTCAAGGAGCATGTTCTCAGCAGAGCGTTACCTGTGACTTGTATTAGATGAAGAGTTGCCAAGGGAATCCCTGGACACAGTTTAAGTGTTCGATTTCATTTTGTATTAGTCCATGTTTGCAGTGCATGTTTACATTCTTGTGAGGAGTTGGTACTTGTGCCCAACACATCTTAATTCTGGCCTCGCGCTCCCTTATTCCATCTCTTAATCATCTTCCCCTTTGAGAAAGATCTGACTCCCTACGTTGTATTATCTGTCCTTTATTTTACACTCTGTTTATATTTGGGTCTCTCACATAAGAGACCATGAGCTATCTGGTTTATTTCACTTAACACTGTAGTCTCAAGGTTCATCCGTTTTCCTATAGATGATTCAAGTGTATCTTTATGGCAGAGTAGTACTCTGTGGTGCATAAATACCTCCTGTTCCTTTCCATTCATCTGCTGGGAAGACATAGGCCACTTCCAGGAGTTAGCGATTGTGAATTGTGCTGCTGTTGTGCTGCAACGTGGGTATGCATGTACCGCTGTTCTTCCACTCTAGGAAGACACCTAGGAAGGGATAGCTGGGTCAGATGGAATTTCTAGTTTCAGTTTTTTGAGGAATCACCATGTGGATTTGCGTAGTGGTTATACTAGTGTACGTTCCCACCAACAATGTAGAAGGGTTCCCTTTCCCCACTTTTGTACGTGTTATTGTTTTGTAAACTATCAGACTATGTCACATGCTTATGAATGAGTAAAACACAACCACTGGCCAATGCTTTTTGTTTCAAGTGACATCACAATTGCTGCATAACTCATCAAAAACATCTACTCCACCTTTGGTTTGGAGGTAGAAAGTTACTATCTCAGGCTTCTGTTTTGTTGAGGTAGCTTCATTCTGTTGGGGTTCATAGAGTTGTAGTCCTTGTTATCTCTTTCTAGAATGTCCTTCAGAACATTTTGGAGTGCTGGTTTGGTGGTCATGAATTTCCTCAGGTGTTGTTTGTTATGGAAATGTCATATTTTTCTAGCAGTTTTGCAAGATACGTCAATATGAGTTGGAGATTTTCTTTTTTTGAAATTCTTTACTCCCAGCTCTTCTTGACTTGAGGATTTGTGTTGAAAAGTCTGCTGTGATTCTGTTGGGTTTTTCCTTGTAGGTAATTTGTTTCTTTTCTCTAACAGCTTTTAATGTTCTGTTCTGTTGTTGAATTTCTGGAATCTTAATTATTATACACCTTGATGTAGATTTTTTTTTTAATCAAGGCTAATTGGAGTCCTATGTGCCTTACTTTATGTCAAATTCTTTTTCCTTGCTTGGGAATTTTTCTGCCATTGCTTCTGTGAACAGGTTTTTATGTCATTTGCACTATTTCCTGCTTTTTCATTGACTCAGGTCAATCTTACATATTCTTTGTATCATCTAGCAGCTGCTGGGTTGATTTCTTATGCTCTCTTGCTATTTTTAAGAAATTGGTATTTCCGTCATGGTGCACTGTTGACATCAGTAGTACCAGTTTGTTTTTCTTTGCATATGAAACCAGTGTTACATCTTTCTGAAATCTAAAGATTGAACTATACAGTCTCTGTTTTGAACTGCAACAGTTCATTTAGAATTTCTACTTTGTTCCTGTGTACAGTTCCTATGCTGTTCAACTTGTGCTGTATTAGCAAATATAAAACAGTTTGGAAGGTGGGGACAGCAGGTCTGTTCACAACAATATCATTTGGTTGTTACTACACAAATAAGGACCAGGTGGCTGAGTTCCAGGATAAATTTCTTTTTTTTTTCCTACAGTACTAAGAATTGAACTCATGACCTTGCGCTTGCCAGACAGGCGCTGTGCTGCTGAGCTAAATGCCCAGCCCCCAGGATAAATTTCTAATTGAAAGCATAATAAATATTTGCATTTACAAGGGCATAAATTTTTATGCCATGTTTTCAAGATTTTTGGGATATACTGCCTGAAGCTACAATGACCATGAAGTGCTGCAAGATGTTCAGTAGTCATTCAGATGGTGTGTGAATTGCTACACAATTATCTACAAATCTTTCAAACAGGGAGCAGAGAGCTGCCAGATTATGAGTATGGCTGTTGATTATGTCATTATGATTATGTCATTATGTTTATGAGCATATGTCATTATGATTATGAGGCCGCTCCTGATTTTAAGTTTTACTTGTATTTCAGCATTTGTGTACTTTACAACATCTTGTAGCATTTCATCTATTACAAGAAATTTCCAACATTGAGTGGCAGTGCTGGCGTTCCATCTAATAGGTTTCCCCCCCATCAAGAGCCTCCTCATGTTTTCGGACTCAGTTCTATCATTGGATCATTCCATTTGGTTGCATGACCATTTTGTACCATTTCTAGTAGCTATGTGAACTTCCATTGCTGTTTTCTTCGTCATCTGAATCAAGGAGGTCTGCATTCCTTGTGTCTGTATTGATTGAGTTTTGCTCCGTTTCATGGTCACAGGAACTTTGGCTCCCACAGCCCAGCATCAAAGTTACTATCATCTTCATCCATGCATGAATGATCTGATTCAATTTTGACTGCCTCCAAAACTTGCAAATCTTGTTTTTCATATGCCATTGTACTGAATTGGGCTACTTTTACCAGCAAAGTCAAAAGAAAACTTTTTAAAAATCCTAAATGCCCAGAAACTGAACAGTGTGCATTTTTCATGGGTAAAACGCACCTGTTGCTGCTTTGGAGTTCCTGTCCATACCTTGCTGTTTGCCTGCCCTGTGGATGAATACACAGATGGGTTTTTGCTTTCCCAAGGCACAGCTGCTGTGAATCACATCCACATTCCATTTATGTTCACAGAAGAATGGTGTGGATATATTTTATCCCCTGTAATGCTCAGATAAACATACACCAAACTCATTATATGGAGCATTATGTGGGTAAAAATCCCAGTTTGACACTTGCACCCATGCACACACCTTGCTGTTCATCATACCAAGTGGATAAACACACAGATTGCTTCCTGTATCCTCCAGGTGCAGCTACTCAGAGGGACAGTTGGTTACTATTATGCTAAAATACAAATTTACAGTAGAAAAGCATGGGGTGGGTTGTAACCCATTGTTGTTCCCCCTGCTGTTACCAGTCCTGTTCTTTGATTTTTAAGGTGGTTTTGACAGATTTCCTTCCATTGAGATCATAATTCCTCTGTACAGTTTTGTTTTCAGTTTACTGGGAAATTACTGTGGATTGAAGCTGCTGATGGGTTCCATGTAGTTTAAGCTGAAATCAATCAGCTTTCAGGATTTCATTCTAGTTTCGCTGATTTTATGATAGGACGTTTTCATCATCCTGTACAGGAGATTTTCAGCTTGTAGCATGTGTGAGGGTGGAAGTTGTAGAGAGGTGCTTTTTCTCGAAAGTCACCCATCTGCCCTCTCAGCTGCAGGACTTATGCACACATTCAACGCCCATGCGGCCACTGACATCACAGGTTTCGGGATTTTGGGCCACGCACAGAACCTGGCTAAGCAACAGAGGAACGAGGTGTCGTTTGTGATTCACAACCTTCCCGTGCTGGCAAAGATGGCTGCTGTGAGCAAGGCCTGTGGAAATATGTTTGGCCTCATGCATGGGACCTGCCCAGAGACATCAGGTATGAGGAGCCTGGCACCAGGTCTGACGTGAAAGTGAGTGCAAGAGGCTTACAGAAAGCCGTGGATCAGTGCATGGGCGCGTCCACTTGGGAGGCCGCTCCTGATGACTGCAGCTGCATCCCTGCTGAGGGTTCCAGCTCCTGCCTTCCTGTGCATTGGGATTTTAAGTGGTGCTTTGGGTGTTCCTGTCTTCCTGTGGTTATATGCCAGTGGTGTGGGAGAGAGTAAGGAAAAATAAGTCATTACCAAAGTTTTTTCCATTTCTCTTTTATATCTGTGTACTTCTGTGCAGCTTTAGTTTTCTGTCTTAGGGATTTAAAAAATAAACATATCAAGCCCCAGAAAATGTAGTATCCTGGGTCTAGGATGGGCCAAGTCTCCCTGGAAGATTCTGGTGCAGAGCCCTGCACAGAGCCCCAGGGAGTGGCTGAGACTTCAGGGCTCCCCAGGCCTTTTCCTGCCCTCGTAAGGACTGACTTTACTGTCCTGCTGACAACAGACAAAGTTTCCACAAGGAACTGGGCAGAGAGATCACTTTCCTTGTTGGTCAGATACCTGGATGGAACAGGGTCTGTCACTTAGTAGGTACTGAGAGACTCTTGAATTATGAATACTACTCATCATTAAATTTGTCGCCTTTATTCAGAATGAGGTTTTATGATTATGTAGGAGTAGAGTACACAATGTGTGTTTCTTCCTAATTGTGTTATTACTATGTAGTAGCAGGTAAAACTTGATGGCCTGGCTACGAGAAATAGCAAAATGGTTTATTTTAAGGTATTGTGTACTTTTTCTGTTTTGGAGGTAATGATAATCAGGACTGAGCTGAGGTATTTTGAGGTAGAGCCACTTTCCTGAGTCTTGAAATACAGTGAAGCGTTCTTGGGGAGATGAGTAGTCCACATAGGGAAGCAAATTGAAGCAGAACATTTCTCCTCTGCTTGTAAATGTGTTTTTCAGTGCGTTAGAGTGGAAAAAGCACCACCACATGAGGTACTGAGGCCCCAGATATTTTACCTGGTGTAAATGGGTCATGAATAGGTTATCTGCACAGTTTAATATTTATTGGATTTTTTTTAATGTAATAGGAGTTTACCAAGAAAGTAATGAGTATGTGCTCTAGAGTAGGCTTCTTCACTGAATGGGAAGAGTAACTTGACTGAATTTGTTAACTGAGCTTAAATCCGTGAAGTTTTTTATACCACACTTAATGGTAACTTTTTTCCTTTTGCTAGGAGGCCTGCTCATCTGCTTACCACGTGAGCAAGCGGCTCGGTTCTGTGCAGAGATAAAGTCCCCCAAATACGGTGAAGGTCACCAAGCGTGGATTATTGGGATTGTAGAGAAGGGCAACCGCACGGCCAGGATCATAGACAAGCCCCGGATCATCGAAGTCGCACCACAGGTGGCCACTCAAAGCGTGAATCCCACACCTGGTGCTACCTCCTAATCTTAGACAGAGATAGCCATTTGGTTCTGTTTTTAAATAGATATAATTCCTTTATCATAACTTCAATTAAAGACTACAGTGTAAGCAACAACAAAAATCTCATTGTGTCTACACATCTGGTGACCTTAGGTCGGTTTGTGAGTGGATGCAATTCATAAAATGAAATCCATGGCCTTCTTTCCCTGTTACGTTAACTGAAGATGCACCTGATCTTGAGGCAGCTTCTGAGTTGAGGATTATATTGTTATCCAATACTGTTGATTCATTTTGAATCTTAGACACGTATCTCTCGCCGCATAGGCTCTTCCTAAAGGTGCTTTCCCACAGCACAGACATTACCAAGAGTAATGTCACATAGCAGTCTGTGTCTTTCATTCTGTGTGTATTTATCATAGCAGTCTGGTCCTTTTTTTAAGTGTCTTGGATGGTATTCTGGAAAGACAGAATTGGTAAGTGACACGCTGGTCTCCCGCAGTGTGAGCATTGCATGATTCCTTTGCGTCTTTGATTTGTAAGGCTGAGTCTGATAATTCAGGAGCATCTCTGACCCAGGCAGGACATTCTTCACTGAGTGTTCAGGTCAGCAAGGCAAGTGCTTCACTGCATGGAAAGCACTTTGAAGACAACGAAGACTTTTCTTCTTTTGTAGCCTTTCTGGTATTCACAGTAATATCATTAACTGTTTTCTTTACTGATAGCAAAAAAGAATACTTTTTGCAATGTAATTAGATATCCTATAGTACGAGGAATTGCCTTCTGATAAGGGGTTGGTTCATGTATAGTACTCATTTACAATTCAATATATAATTAACTACACAAATTTTTAAGTATAACCAGTAATAAAGACTTCTGTGGACGGTAGTGTTTAATACATTCTCTATTTTGTATAGTGATTTCAGCCTAATAATTAGCATTGTTTTGCCCTTTGAGCCAGTACTTTTTTGTGCACGCTTGTTGTGATCTGTGTTAAAAATCTGCATTGCCAACATTGCAGCTCCGACTTAAAACTTGTTACCCAAATAAATATTTAATTTTTTAATTGCTCTTGTATAATCAGATGCCCCTTTTAGTATTATTTTAGAAGGGAGGGTTTTGCCTAAAGTACAATTTATTGGGGAAAACTAGATTTTAGTTTTATAAAACTTTTAAGTCTTTCATGGGACCTATATTTTCTTGAATTAAATTTTGTAGTTCTAGAACAAATAGGTGATCTAAAAGGTGTTATCTGTGTTACTTAAAAGACAGAGGCTTCCTTTTATTTTAACCTTCCGAGCAGTCAGAGATTCCCATCGCTAAGCACAAAGGCACTGAACCCTCAAGTGACCGTCTACAGAGAAGAAAAACAGCGCCGTGACCCTGCAGTTTCGGGATGCTTCCTGCTTACAGGCGCCAGAGCCACACAGCGCCCCTCACCCGCGCCACAGGGAACACCGCCCGCAGGACGACGGCCCCGGGAGGGAGAGCCGTCGGCACGTCCGTGACCCACAGGTGCTGCTGGACTGGGCCTCCAATCTGGACGGCAGCACAGAGGGGCCGCTGCAGAACTGGCATGAACTGGACATTTCGTAGGAATTTATACAGATACTGGTCCTCAAAAGCCACGCTCCAGTGGTCTGCAAAATAAAATGAGTTGGAAACCTCTGAGTATGAGAAATACACTGTTGAGCTTTTTTTATAAAAAAAAAAGTGATGGTGGAATCTGAACAGTAGAAGCTTTTACCTGACGTGCTGGTGTTTTCCTTGGTGCAGGTCTGTCGAGAGGAAGTAAACCAAGCAGGTTATGCCCTTGAAGTCATCTTTGTAAAGGTTCATATTCACAGAAACTACTGAGGACTAGAAGGCCCATGCAGTTGATAGAATCCCAGGAAGAACCTGAAAGCAGTGTTTTCAGGAGTGCTCCAGACACTCCTACGGCACGACCACCTGGGGTGTTTGTCAGCAGGGACTGCTCTGCCTCTTTCCCGGAGGTGCAGAACGGTCTCTGGAATATGGGGTGGATCTGTCTCTCGTTGTGCCTAAGGGGCTGTGCTGACTAAGGCGTGGGAGCCACTGGCTCAGAGGGATGTTGCACAGGGAGGTGGTGAAAGAAAGGCGATTGGTTTGCAAAATTCTTCCCCAGGTTTTGTTTTAATACTGACAGTTCTGTTTACTTCCCATGTCTGAGCTATGGCCCAGCAAGGGGGTTGAGAAAAGACTGGTAACTTGAAAATCCCTCGAGTCAGGTGGTTCAAGTTTTTGACGTCTACAGAGAACATTTTAAAATTCCATGAACAATGAATATACCATTGTTTGGACTTGCTGGTAGGTAATACTTTAAAACTTCACATTGAAGTGTGTTCACCTTGGTATGCTGATAGATTTGTAAACCTTATGATACAGTGGCATCCAAAAGCGTAGTCTTACAGTGCACGGGGCTAGTGAGCACAGCCTGACAGGGCTGGACCCTGGTGCATGCAGTTGGAGTCTTCGGGCATCAGGTTATTTGCAAAGGAATATTTAAGTGTGGCTGGTTATGTTGAAGCATTGTGTTCGGTTTAAGAAAAATTTAAATATTATGTAAGCAATAATGTACCTTTTCTTCTTGGCTCAGTATCTTAGAAAAACTTTGTAGTCTTCCAAGTTCTGCATGCTTAATAATGAATAAATGTGCTTTAAATTGTTCTGGTTATAGATGTATGAGCCAGCCATTTTCAGTCTCAATTTAGCATTGCCTTTAATTTAACAATTATGTCAGAGTTCTAAGTCGTTTTATTCTGTAGAGATCAGGATAATGGCAATATCATATTCTTTCTTTTTGGAACTAATGAGACAAATGCAGACATGGAAGTTTCAGGTGCCCAGCTGGAAGCATGTGTACACACACACACACACACACACACACACACACACACACACGTGCGTTTGCACGCGCCTCTCCCTGGGATACTCATTTCCACATACCCTGCCTCCTAGATTAGACAGTCGCATAGACTATTCTCTGTCATTAGTCATTTCTACCTCTTCTCATTAAGAATCTACATACGAGTCATGCAGTTGTTAAACATGGCGGGGACCACAAGGAAAATCTAAAGTCCTGGTGAAATGCAATATGGGAGTATTGTTTTTACCTTTGTTTAAATTCTCTACCTTGAATAAGATTAAAGGTGAGTAGATTTGAGCAGGCTTTCATCAAGTACAATGTTGGTAAAACTGCTCAGGGGCCTCTGCCTACGATCCACAATTGCTGTACGTGCCAGATGTTCGTCTGGTCAGTAGGGCCACGATGCCCTTCTCTTTAGGATGTCCTGTATTTCAGTTTTCAGTATCCAACTCTGAACACAGTTGGTGTTTTGAATGACTATTACAGCTTGGGCTACAGGGTGAGTCCAAGACCAGCCTGAACTGCATAGTGGGAGCATCTCGAAACATGAAATCAGCACGACGAAGGTAATCTAACTTGTATTTCCATCCTATACATATGTATTTTTATAAAATAACAAAAACTACTGTACCCTGAGTGGTGAGTATCAACATCAGATACCAGATTTTTAATGACAAGAAACCTACTATCTTCATAAAATTCTGTTCCAGGAGGAATCATGCAAAGTATACCTAAAGGGCAAAGAGTATCCCCAAATAAAGACCAAACTTTAAATTGTAACCTAACAGTATATATCAAGAACCCAAGAAATATTTATATTTTTAAATTTAACTTTTTTTTTTTTTTTTTTTGCGGTACCTGGGATGGAACTCACGACCTTGTGCTTGCCAGACAGGCGCTTATGCCACTGAGCTATATCCCCAGCCCTTAAATTTAATGTTTCTAAGACAAGAAAATAATCTGAAAAAAATTTAAAAATTACCTATGATCACCAAAAATGCATAGATGGAAGGAAAATTAATGATATCCATTCAATAAAGTGACTCGGGCCGTACAAATAAGGGCACAATAGTATTGACAATGCTTGTACCTACTGCAATGATGTGACACAAGACACTATATATGAAAAAGAGACTTCAAAGAAATACGCCCCACCAAGTTTTTTAAAGAGTGATTGCTATTATGTAGAGGTACAAATGCAGATTCCCCATGATGAATGTGATCATTATGTATGGCAAACATGTACTAATAAAAATTTTTAAAACATAAGGGAATGTTCTGAAGAAAAAGTGATTGCTTTTCAAGAAATTCTGGATGGTTTTTAAAAATATTTTTGTGAATTTTATGGTGAATATAGCTTTTCAGACGGCAAACCAACATATTTTATGTTTTTAATTGTCCAGTCAGTATAGTCTCGGAAAGTAACAAAATCCAAATAAGTATAGGTCATAGCCACAAACTCAAATCACTTAACCTGTGAGATTGGGATGGTGGCTATATGGAAATATTGAAGTTCAAGGTCTTCCCCTTTAAAGGTGGCTTCAGACGGTAAAACTGTTGGGCATGTAATCCCAGCCATTTGAGAGGCTGAGACAGGCAGACTGCTTGGCCAGGAACTGACAACCTGGACAACATAACAAGACCTCGTTTCAAAAGCCAAAACCAAAACACCTATGCTCACGTGTATGTATATAATGTATAGACATACAGTGCATACAACAATACACACATTCTCCAAAAATGCCAGCTAATATGTTGCTTGGGTTTTCAAGAGTCAGGTTATGTATTTTCTAGTATTTCTGTTTTTTTCTGAATTACTAGAATTCTTACAGAAAAAAGTCAAGGTATTCAACATTTTCCATGTTTGTACTAATTGGAACAAATCCCAGAAAGATTTGAATACTGAATTGTACTCAGGCAACACGCTGTGTTACATGTTAATGCCACAGTTGCCAGCCGGTGTTTCCAGGAACAGCGCGTGTCTGGCTGCGTCAACCAGAGGCGTCTTTCTTGGGGCAAGCCCGGCGCTCTGGCCGCACTGTCGCCCTGACAGGAACCATGGCTGCAGAAAGCCCCAACGAGGTGAGCGGGGACTTATTGTCGTTCTGCTCCACAGAGCTGGAGCTGGAGAGGTCAGCGATCAGCCCACATTGCCTGGAGGTAAAACAGCCAAGCCCGGCACGGCCTTCACCCCAGGCTCCAACAGCTCCTGCCCCTCGGCCTCCTTCCTCTAAACTTCAGCTAGTGTGGAGGGCCCGCACGGAGGCCGAGCACTCCAGGAGGTTGAGGCAAGAGGACGGACGAAGTGTGTGTGCCCAGCCTGGGCAATTCAGCAACTCAGACTGTCTCTAACGATGATGATAATATTATTTATTACTGCTACTTCAAAAGGCCGCTGTAGCTCAGTGTAAAGGGTCTGGATTCAATTTCCAGTACTGCAAGACATTTAAAAAAAAAGAAAAAACAACCCAGAAGTTCAGCTTTCGAAGTGAGAGAAACATGGGCTATTTACAAAAGGTATTTAATTTAGTGAGATTTCAGTTCAAAATATTAGAAATAATTTGGCTGATCATAATGGGGAAGTCTATAAAATAAGAACAGTCAAGTATAATTTTAAATACCTGAAAGGACTAAAAATGCCTTTTGTAAAATCTCTTCTGTCTGGTCACTGCAGGCTTTAGCCCCAGCAGGTCACAGCCTGGGGCCAGCTCTTCTCGGCACAAGGTCACTGTGAGGACACGAGGGCCCTGGCCTCCCGTTAATATTTTTTTTTTTTGCTCCCGCTAATATTCTTGTCCCTTTCCACTACTTTCATGGCGTGGTTTTTTTGTTGTTTTTAGAAAAATTTTCAGTGATGTGAAAATGTTTACAATGCAAACTTAGGTGAAAAAAAAATGGATGCAAAAAACCGTACAAACAGAACAGCCCTAATTATGTAATATACATGCATAGGAAAGAAAAAACACTTTAGAAGAAATGATGATTCATGGCCGCTGGAATAATGAGTTATATGCACTTATTTTTCCTTTCTGTATGCACTTTAAAAACAGTACAAAACCGATTATTCCTTATTCCAAAATCCACATTGTTTCCAAACAAGTAAGGCTTGGGAGACTCACATTTCCAGGAGCCTGTTTAAGACTCAACGACAATTCACTGCAGATCCTGGCCGGTTCTACCCTGTCTCGCAGCCCTCAGCCACAGTGGGCGATTTAACCACAATTACCTGGGGTTAAAAACGCAGTGCGCAGCAGCTGCAGGCGGCTGGACAGAGTTCCTCGGACAGCTCAGGGACCGGACGTTCCCATCGCTGCATGCAGTCTTGGAAACACTGACGGGAAAAGTAAGTTCTACGCCCAGTGCTGCTGTGATCAAGAACCAGCGGGATCCCAAATCCAGTCGAATGGATTTCGATGGTTTTCCCGCGAGTACCGGGATTGCACCCAGCTCTGCACAGGTGCCGGGCGGCCGACCACGCTGCGGCTGTAACCCCGGGGCTGGGAGCAGAGGCCGGAGCGGGCGGGAGTCGCCGGCCGGCCCGGTGCGCAGACCGAGGCGC